GTACAGAAATATATCACAGTAGAACCTGCCGAAAGCTCAGATTATTGCATATTTTCGTATTCTACATTTCCAACAATTTCGTGTACTTTTCAGTTTTGTCATTTGGAATATTCACTTATCCTCCTCCTGTTTGTCTGTCTGTTTAATCTTCTTCTTGTGATGTTTTTACATTTACGTCATTCATAGTTTCGGTCAAATCCATTGCATAAATGATAGAAAAAAGTACCTACACCACATTTTCAATTACTACTTATTTTCATTTGAGTAATTTGTAACAAATCCATGGAACAAATGCATTCATCGAAACTTTGCTATAATTGTTATTTTGGGGCACAGTTTTGTAGGTTTGCGTTTTTACACATTTGAAATCATCAATCAATCATTGTTAGACTACCATTAGAAACCTGGAAGCACTGGACGGCCGTTTTGTCCTAGTAAGGGACTCCTCAGCAGTGCGCATCCACGACTCCTGCTCCTCGCAGGATTCGAACCCGGGATCTTTGGCATTGTAGGCGAACGCCTTACCATTGATGATTTCAAATGTGTAAAAACGCAAACCTGCAAAACTGCGCCCCAAAATATCGTAACAGTGCTCACTAGTGACTAGATTCGTGAGGAAATTCTAGGAGTTCTAGTTGAGAAGACTTGACCAGTGGAGTTCAACCCTGTTGGGTGTAGGCAGTAACTACCAAAGACAAATGGGTGAGGTCGCGCAAAATCCCTAGATCAATCAGAGTTAGACATTAACACCGTTGGATACCGGCCCAGTGGTCCGATGGTAAAGCGTTCGCCTACAATGCCAAAGATCCCGGGTTCGAATCCTGCGAGGAGCAGGAGTCATGGATGCGCACTGCTGAGGAGTCCCTTACTAGGACAAAACGGCCGTCCAGTGCTTCCAGGTTTCTAATGGTAGTCTAACAATGATTGATTGATGATTTCAAATATGATTGTTATGTTTAGTTAGCTCAAATTAAAGTATTCGGACAAGCTAATAATATTTAGCACCTTATTTTATAATTGAACACCAAAAACAAACCTAATGTTGATACTAAACATCATTAAAATATAAATAGATAACATTGATGCCAGTAATATGTAGTTTTATTAATTTGATTTGATTTAAATTCTGCTATTTGCAGTATCTGGTATTAAATTAATCTTGTTCATTTTTATTCTAATCATTTTGATAAAATACTGATAACTTCTTTGTAGTAGTTACCTTTGTTAAGTGAACAAACTCTCCTTGATTTTCAATGGGAGTTATGTGGATTTCATTGTCTCAAATTGCTGGACTAAACTAAACTATACTATACAGGCTCCTTATAAATCAACTCTTTCCTAACGTAAACATCCACAGGAGATACAGACTTCAAAATGGATCATAGGACTAGCATTGCTAAACCACATAAAATTCAGGCGTTAGTAACGGAACGACCAATAAGCAATCATATAATGATATCTTTGTTCAGACGAACCGAAAGTTTACTTACACTAACTGGTCGTTTTTCAAAGTGTGAACCAGACGTTCGTTCTCTATGTCAATTCCATCCAGTTTAGGGTATTTATAATGTTTACGACCCTCCGCCTGATAAAGAATACACTCTTTGTGCATAGAAAATAATTCTTCATCAAATCAAATAACACTTCGTATGTAAATCAACTATTGGCTTTAATAGTTAGCCAACACAGTATTCATGAATCTATTGTGTGACTTCAAGCATTTCGACTTCTAACTTACTCTGAAACTCTAAAACAGATTATTCTCTACAGATTATTCTCTCTATCTCACGATTCTGAACAATCAGCGATTTCTCTGGAGAAGACACATTTACCTGTAGGATTTAAAAAGTTTTTACAAGATTATTGGTTCGTGTCATTCTCAGAACGGACTTATCTCAAAACACATTGTTTGACTTCATTCGTACGAGTACGGATTTGCCAGTTCTAAAACTCCTGCACACTTGCTACATAAAACATGAATACGTGGCTGGTTTTTAGCAATAAATGAACGTATTTCAACCAACTCAATGGTCATAATGCAAGACGAAAATGAAATCGAACAGCTGAATGCAACAAACTGCATTCTGTCCGACTTAACACACTATAAAATGGGGAAAATTATGAAACGTAGCAGAAACATCAACATAGAAATTACATGTAATAAAGTGAACACAGAGTCACGGAAACAAAACAACAAATCACCTTAGTTGATACAGTAGCTAACAATTCAGTGGTGGTTTTCCGATTTTAGGATCTGTCGATGTCAATAGCCGGTCAGTGATTGTCCATTGTATCCTTGGAATCCATCCGTTTACATAAGAATGTTATGAAATAATGTAAACTAGCATACCTTTTTAAAGAATAATTTATCACATTTTTCATACACAAATGTTATATTAAACGATTTTAATTACTTGTTTGAATTAAATTAAACTGGTCTATCCATTTTAACTCTGTCAAGCAGATCTCGGGGTCTTTGTTTAACCGCGAATTCTGGACAACCATCAATAAGAAGCCTCAAATATTATAATCAATACTAGGTAAGGTTTTCAACATACTATTAATGAAGTGGAAGAAAGATTAAGTTGACGATAAACTAGTTTTCATTACGAAAGACCAAGTACCGACGAAATCCTGACGCTGAAGATCACTATAGGAAACAGTATTGAAATGAACTCAAGACATCATCACACGAGACCGAGAGTTTATCTCCAACTTTAAAATGTTTCTTTTGTATGTATATGAAGCGTGCAAATCTAGTACATTCATTATCAAACATACAGAGGCATTTATAAACAACTTTATTTGCAAGATGCTCAAAATCCCTGCTCGGACACTGTCAGAGAAAACCTTCATGGAAGAAAACAAAAGAGCTTTCAGATGAAGATACTGTACAGAAACGATTGGACTAAATTGCAAAGTAAGCACCATCTCAGCATATTCTTAGTGAACAAAAAAGTGACCGATCAAAGAAAACCTGCGAGTGAGAGTCAGATTTGAAGATAAATGTCATGAAATCATTTGCAAAAACTCTGATAACACAAGAGAAATTTGTTTTGAAGACATTTTGTTGGTTCTTCATGTTTTCCAAGGCTCAATGAGCTTAAGTATCCTAAATATATACTACTCATTATTATTG